CTTTGAAGATGTTTTGCTTCTCATCCAAGAAGCTGCTTCAGCTCTGACTGGATGGTGGGGAATGGAAGGATTTATAAATCCTTCAGTCTGCAAGGAGTATAAATCCTTCCATTCCCCACTATCCAAAGCTTCTTGGATGAGAAGCGAAACGTCTTCAAAGAGAAAACAAGAAAATCCAGCACCTTTGGGACAACCATGACCTGAATGACTGAGAAATTTCCATAGACTTTCTCATAAAACAAGGGTCTTCTAACTTGGCAAGTTTAAGACTTGTGGACTTCAACTCCCAGAATTCCTGAGCTAACATGACTGGAGGAGGAATTCTGGGAGTTGAAGTCCACAAGTCTTAAAGCTGTCAAGTTTGAAGACCCCTGTCATAAAGCATTATCCGGAGTGGCATGTTTCTCTCACGTATGGACAGGATGTCGTTTCCCAAGTTGCTTAATAAGCATGTATTGCGAGAAAAGGGAAGGGGAGCGACCGATTCTAAATCACTTTGTTCGTATTCCGGAGGATATTACGTTTTTGTGGAAAGACCAAAAAAAAATCCCATCCGCAGCTGCCTTGTGGTAAGGTTTATACATTTCGTAGAAGGAAATCAGAATGAATTAGAATAACACAAAAGCGTTACAATATATTTAAACTCAGTTTTTTTTCTTTTTTCTCAGTTTGTTGTTAACGATTGAGAGGAAAAGTGACTTCCTGGAAACAAATTCCTTCCTTTTTTCGGTGTTGTAGGTTTTCGAGTAACAAAAATTTTAATCAAGAATAATGTGCTTCAGTTCTAACTTCTTAGGACCATCCAATTTTTGAGGAAAAAAAAAAGCCCAGATCCCGCGAGAACATGGCACCAAACCTCGTGTAAAAAAAAGATCCGGCTGTGGGGAAGCGCGTGCGCCTGTATGAGAGTCGGATGTACGCCCACGCACGTACATGTTATCGCGATATTTGGAGAACCAGGAGCAGGTAGAGAGGAGTTGGAGAGGAATTTCCGAGCTGTACTAAACGAGGCATGGTGTCGGAGGCTGGAAGGAAGACAGCGACAGCAATGTTTTTTTTCGTATTCTTGCAATAATTAGTAGCTAACCTTCCCCCTCTCACTTTCCTTCCTCTCCCCTCTCCCTAATCTGGAAACAGCGCTGTTTCGGTCTGGGAAGTAGGTGGAAAAAGATGGGGATCCTGGCTTGGGGAACTTGCTAGGAATTCAGGCTAAGGAAAGGGTTAGGGGCGGCTCACTGGACTCGGTTACGGGACTGCAGGATTTTTCCAATGAGCCTGGGCGGGCTGGAGAGTGTTTATAGTAATCCCTCTCAGGCAGTTGAGATAGCAAATAAATTCAGACCCCCACTTTCATTTTGTAAGGATGTGGGCCCTTTAGTTAATGGCAAGGCAGCCTTGAACCAAGGGAGTCCACTGCTTAAGTACTTTAGGGGACTATTAGGGGACCACTGTTTCAAAAATCTGCAAGTGAACTAGTCACTTTCCAAAACTTTTTGTTTTTGAAAAGTTCAGCCCCTTACCTATTTACAAACTGGAATTTATTTGTATTTACCCCTTTAATCAACCGTTTGGGGGCAATTTATATCCTAAAACGAGGAATTAATTGAGACCTGGAATTAAGGAAGAGCAGGTGTTTACTTGATTAAAAAAACTTGTCTTCCCTTCCTACTTGTGGGATCAGAGGATATTTTGACAAAAGTTATTTTTCTCCAGGTTGAAAGGCGGGCTCAACTCAGTTTTATATCTATTTCTGAGACAGCTTTATCTTACTATATTTTTGCATGTTATTTTACAATCTGGCATTCATAGAGCAACCCCCAACTATCCTCATGTAAAGAGACAAGTGGGTTGAATGTAGGTTGTAGGTAACAAGATAAAATAGCCCTTCCATTGTGAGGTGTGTGTGTGTCTTGAAGATTTGGGCTTTTTGGAGGATTCCTCCCTCTTCAAGCACAGTGGAGAAGGAATGCCAAACCCAGAGAGACATGGGGGCAAGAAGAATGCGGGAGGAGGGGAGTCTTTGCATCAAGGTGCAGTGTCCTGCAGTGGGAGCTCAAACAGAGAGAGGCACCGGCTTTCTAAGCATAAAAGACACAGATCCAAGCATTCCAAAGATTCACTGTTGGGGTCCCAAGAAGGAAGTGCAACACTTGGCAGCATGATCAAGCCATTGGTAGAATATGACGATATCAGCTCTGATTCTGACACCTTCTCAGATGAAACAGTCCTCAAGTTGGAACGTAGAGAAAATGAAAGGAAAGGGACATTGGACAGGAGTGATCGATTAAATAGACAGCAGCAGCACAAGCATGTCCATGACTTGATGAAAAGTAAGTTGGGGGACAAGGAGAAGCAACTGGAAAGGAATCAAGAGTCCTCAGGCAATTTGAGTTCTAATAAAGATCGAATATCCAGGACTTCCAAAAGGCTACATGAGGAGAATGATGACCATTCATCTAAGTCATTCAAGAGTAGTAGCAAAGAGTCTCGGTCAGCCAAACTGCATAAAGAGAAGTCTAGGAAGGAGCGGGAGGTGAAATCTGGTTACAAGGATCACAGTAAAAGTCGTTGGAAAAGAGATGTCCCCAAAAGCTACAAGTCACTGGACAGTCCAAAGTGGAAATCCAGAAGTCCACACCATAAGTGGTCAGATGGTCCCAAACAAGATGACAGTCCCTCAGGAGTATCTGATACACAGGACTATGACAACAGCCCTCCACACTCTCACACATCCAGTAACTATGATTCCTGTAAGAAGAGTTCTAGTGTATCCTCACGACGACCATCAGTGAGCCCTCCATTTAAGGAACCTGCCTACCAATCCAGTATATGTTCTCCCAGCCCTTATGGCAGGAGACAGCGGTCAGTCAGCCCATACAGCAGGAGGCGTTCATCCAGCTTTGAAAGGGGAAGTGGTTTATACAGTGGAAGATCCCCCAGCCCATTCAATCGAAGGAGCTCCAGCAGTTCTTATGTTTCCAAGCGGTCTCTGAGCCGTAGTCCTGTTTCCAGGTATTTGGTCTTTGTACTTAAATCAGAATTGTTGGGCTTCCCAAGTACAAACGTAACTGGAGGGGCTAATGTCCCAGAATTTTTGTTACTGTCCCTCAAAACAGAAAATGTTTTATATTCCTCTGTTCCATGATTCATTAGGGTAGCCTTTCCCACCATGATTTGTCTTTATGTGTTACATTATAACACCCGCTATTACAAACTTGTATCCTCATGCTAGTGAGACTGGAGTTGGGAGTCTAACACATATGGGGGGGGGCACAATATTAAAGTAGGCTGATTTAAGGTACCAACTTGTTTTGTTTGTCTTGCAATATTGTATCCTAGGTAATAATTTCTTACTGATTTGGAGAATACGAAGTTGAAAAGCCAGGTCAGCCAATATGACACTGATATGATTGGATATGTCATTGTAAAACATAGTTGAATATGAAAAGTTAGTTGCAATGAGCATTAAGTATTGCATGTTAGCTGCCCAGAATTGCTGTATCGATAAGATGGGCGGCATAGAAATTTAATGTTTTTCAACATCTTTTTATTTTAAGTTTGGTTTGTCTACAATTTGTCATATCATTAAAACCTGGCAAACTAGAATCATTGATCACATCATGATTAGTAAACTGCAGTTCATTAAAGTTGGATGATATACTACATTATAATTAATGCAGATGGGTAGCTTCTGTGTCAGGTGTGTGTAAATGAACACACAGCTTCTAAGGTTTACTGATAATTGTTTTCATGCTAAATTCAGGTATAGTGTACATGTAAAGCAATTTTTGAAAATGAAACTAAACTGCAACTTAATTTATACTCCTGGGTCATTGTAGCTTTTCAGTTTTTATAAAATTAAAGAACTGGAAGAGGTGCCAGAATGGGGTTACTAAATATGTAAAATTCAGTGTTGCTTCCTTTTTTAGCAAAGAAAATGAGGTACATTTAATACTATACCACTTAAGTATATAGTATTGAAGTTTCAGATTTTATCAGCCTTCATGGTGTTCTATTCTCTCAGCTTTATGCTAGTAACAAAATGGGCAAGTCTCCATGATTTTAGTTATAGTTTTGCTTTGATAGTTTTATCAGAATTATTTTACTATATCTTTTTAATGGAGATAGACGTACTTTTGATAAACCTTTAGATAAACAACGGTAGTTAGGTGCTCAAAAATAACTTGATTGCAGCTTGTGATATTTATGAATACCAGAAGGGAAGTCAGTGTAGCTAAAATATTTTTATATTACTCCTTGTGAATTCTACTTTTAACTAATTACAGTATTGAAACCTAAAAGCTGAAAGGAACTTTGAAAATAGAGTTTATTATAAATATTTGTCACGGATTCTAAACTTTATACTGTTTACCTTTAAATAAGATTTCATTCTGGTAATAGTTTTGAAGATGTTGTTCTCTCTTTATAATGTGAATGAATGAAACTGCTAATACTGGTTATCACTGGACATTAGAGAATTAACATGTCCATGGATATGTTTCCTATCATTTCTGTTAACACTTCAATACAGTAGTCCCCAGTCTTTGCAGTTTGATGGCTCACCGGGGTGGGAGAGGGGGAACCAGGTCATGCAAGTGGCGGGCTGGTACGCATGCATGCACAGCTCAACTTGCACAACTTGAGCTGCGTTCATGTGTGCACATGCACTGGCCCACTGCTTGTGCAACTTGAACTACGTGCACGCCTGTGCGCACCGACCTACCGCTCATGTGGCCCAGTTGTGAATAAGCCATGTCCCGGTAGTGGGCTGTGACCCAGGGGTTGGGGACCCCTGCTTTAATACACAACTTCAGCATATGAGCTAAGCTCTCTATTCAGTGAAGTAGTTAATACTCTGGCAGTGCTGAACAACAATCTTGTCCCATTGTTTTGAATATTTAGACCAGTGGTCCCCAACCTGTCCAGCTTGGCAGCCTGGTGCGGGTGGGAGGGGGTGTTGGGTGTTTGGGTGAGTGAGTGGTAGGCACACGTGTACAGCTCCATTCGCATGAGTGGCACATGCACCCTTCACTCACACAAATGAAGCTTTGCATGTGAGCAGAGGGTGCTTGTGCGAGCGGAGGGTGCTTGAGCAGAGGGCACTCACGCTTGCACACAAAACTCAACTTGTGCGAGTGGAGAGTGCTTGTGCATGAAGCTCCATGCAAATGGAGCTTCAAGCACAAGTGCACTCCGCTTGTGTGAGCGGAGCTTCACACGCATGTGCTTGCCCTTTTTTTTTGCAACCCAGTTTCAAACAGGCTAAAGCCTGGTAGTGGGCCAGGGCCCGGGAGTTGGGGACCCCTGATTTAGAGGGCTGGTATCTTCCTACTTGTGAATTCTGGATGGTCTTTGTGCAGCGTGTCTCTCAAAGCTCCATTCTGTCTGCAATGGGATAGTTAATGACCTCAAGAGAAAGTATATAACAGTTAACATACAGCGCTTTGTATGGATGGAGTGTAGTGAAATAAGTAGTATTGATTACTAGGCAAACTGCCCACCAAGTGTGATAAGAAAACAAGTATCATTAGGTAGGTTCTTTGTATTGTATAATTCTCCATAGAGCTGCTGCGAGCATCCAGAGTGGGAGGTGCTCCAGTCTCGGCTCTCACAGGCTGAACTTGAATTGAGGAACGCTCCTCCCTATCACGTGGTCCCTCGTAGCGTTCCCCAGTTTTTAGCTCAGCCTCGTGGCAGTCAGGCTGTGTTTCTCAGAGCTCTTGGCCGACTCAGGATTTCTCTTAGGATTTCTTCTCCAGGTTGGACCTTTTAATTTAAGTTATTCCTGCGCAGTTGCCTTGGGGTCTATAGCTCCCTAGGGGAGTTCCCCCCTCTTGGGGGGGGGGATTCTTATCTTTTCCTTTTGGGCAGAATTCCAGCACTTCGCGTTGCTGGTGCCCCCCCTCGCCTACCACTTCGTTCGCTCTACCGCTGAGCGCCGTTTTGTTCCTGCCTTCGATCGGTTGTTTCCCCCCCACTGAACGCCCATAACCAGGGGAGATCTATCTAACCCCTGTTCCTCCCGTTTTCGGGCCCTCATAGGCCTCCTTTCATGCCGGGAGAGTAATCTGCCGCTGATAGCCCCTCTCGCAACTCGCAGCCGCCATTTTGGGCACCGCGTGGCATCCGCCATTTTGGGCGCGGCCTCGTGGCCGGCGGCCATTTTGGGGCCTTTCCCAACAGTGCAACCAGGCTGCGTTGATAAATTGTCTCACTAGGCAGATCCCCGGGGACTGCTTAAAGCTGTCGCTCGTTCCCTCAAGGTCTTTTCGAGGGTTCCTGAGCCTTCACAAGGTCCGTTGGCTCCGCAGCCGTTTTTCAGCTGGTGAGGTAGCAGCGCTTTTTCAACCCCCCCCCCCGGTCTTCGTCTGGGGAGGCAGCTGCTGTAGGCCATATTTTTTCTCAGGCCTGGCGTTCGTTTCGGCTGATTGATTTACCACCTGTACCTTACAACTGCTGCTCCCTCCTTCCGGAGCAACTCAAGGTGCACTAATAAGAGTAGCAAATGAAACCGAAAGGGCAATAGGCCCAATTTCTTCATATATCTCAATTTCATTCAGTTTTTTTTAAAAAAAAAACAAAGAAGAAGGAAAGAGAAAAAAAGAAAATGATTAATGATTAAATGCTTAAATTCAATGAAATATATATATATAAAAAAAAAAATTCACTAAAAGGGGGGCGTGAAACAACCGTTGTGATACCCGGCCTTTGGTGTAGGTCGCAATCAGACGAGCCAACCCTCTCTTACTAACTTTAAATAATTTTTTTCCAGCTTTTTTTCCAGATGGCAGATGACAATTCTTCACGTGGACCTTCTCTGAAGGCCAAATCCAAAACGCATTACCTGCGCAAACAGGCACAGGAGACCTCCAAAGCCTCACAGAAGGATGCCCTCAGACGCCACAAGGCATTGGAGAGGGAAATAGACAGGCGGTCTAGAGAGTCAGGCTCCGTGCCTCTGGCCCTCCCCCCCGCCACGCCCTCAACCTCCACCCAACCCCCCCTCCTCCTCCCTCGCCTGCTCAATCTTCGGCCTCGGTGCCTAGACAAGCTCCTGAAGCTACTTTCACCTCCACTGCTGCTGGCTTGCGCCAGGAGGAACCAGAGGAAGATTCCATGGTCAAAATCCCTGAGAAAATGAGATCCTGGATGGAGTTTGCCATCCGCCAGGGAATCGCGCAAGGTCTCCAGCAGATGGCCGGTCCGCCCCCTCGGCCTGCGGCCTCTGAAGTCCAGGCTCCATCCGTCAGATCTCTCCCCAGATCGGATGCTTCACATGGTCAGGTACTCTCCCAGAGGGAACTGCCTCTCTCTCATGGGGTAGAGGAGGAGGAGCAGGAACACGATCAAGGGGACCCGATTCATTTCGGGGAAGAGGAGGACCTTGATTTGGGGTCCATGATCTATAGCGAACCCCTCTCGGGGGCAGACCCAATGGAGGGGGAGATGTCAGAGGATGAAGGCCTCACCCTGGACCAGCCCACCTTTGTGGGGTTGTTCAAGCCACATCTGTTCAGGTCCATCCTTTTCAAGGCCAAAAATATCTCCGGCCTGATCTCCCAGCCTCCCCCTGAACCCGCAGCCTCGGGGGGGGCCCATGACTCCATCTTTAGTCAGCCAGTAGTAGAGACCGAAGTCATTCCGGTCCCACCTATCTTTTCTGATCTGGTTTCCAAGCAACTGGCCTCTACAGGGGCGCCTCCAGCCCCCTCCAGTCAGGACAAACGCTTTTTCAACCTTGACCCTGACTTCTCTCTCCTGTTAGACCCCCGCACGGTTGACGAACCCATCGTGGGCTTGGCTTCTTCCTCGACCCCTAGCGATGCTCTAGAGGCCCTGAAACCAGAAGACAAGCGAGCCGAGCTGGCCTTATGCCGAGCCCACCAATCCGACGCCTGGGCCATTAGATCGGCCACGGCCGCATCTTTCTTCACCAGATCCTCAATCAGATGGCTCCGCCAGCTAAAGCAACATGTCCCCGCGTCCAATCTCAGGGCGCACCAGGACATTGC